TTAATTTTATTTTTTTTGAACTTGTCTATTAGTTACCTAAATGACCCTGTGCTTCAATGAGAGTAGCATTTTAAGTGTAGGCCTACATGTAAAGTTTTAGTATTGAAAAAAATCTACGTTAGGCTTGGCAGTTGACGACCTAGAATTTCTCACGGTTGTTATTTGCCGTGATTTTACTAGTCGGTATCCGTATTGGAGGCGAGCGAGTTGGCGAGAATCCGTCATGTTGTTGACATGGAATAAAAACGTACTTTTTTTTTAGATTTAGCAAACAAAGCGACCGTAAAAATAATAAAAAATAAAAACTTAAGCCTAAAATTAATTCAGAAATTTTATATTTTTAGAATCAATGCTATAAAAGTTGCAAATCCAGAGAACTTGAAAATAATTTGTTGAGTTTAAGACAAATATTGATTGGCTGTTTAGGAACTCCGTGATCGATAACTATTTGTTTACAAAACTTTGCAGATAATGTTTTTAAATAACAATGCAACTTCAAACCCTATGACCTAGTTTTCCTTTTTTTTCCCCTTTACAATGTGTTCAATAAAGTTTATGGCAGCCTATCAAATAGCAGGATGCCATTGTTTATGTCGCCATTACACGTGAGAACAAAATTGTTTTTTTTTTATTTATTTAGTTACCGAAAATATTAAAAACATTAAATTTATCCAATCTTTAGTTAAGTCCCAAAAAAAACAGACAGACAGGATTTTATGACCTAACTACGCAGTGCATGATTTTTAAATTAATTAATCCGCCTCTCGAATACTTTCTCGCTCGTGTCCATTTAGTTCGAACCTGTGAATTTTGCTTAAGTGCTCACATGCCTAAAATATTAACAGTGTTTGCTGCTCAAATAGATATTTATTGTTGAAAATCAAAGACCCCCCCCCCTTTTATTTCCTGTGGAAGGCGAATAATTAAATCTTCATATACCAAGTTTGAGATTTGTATATATAAACAAGTTTACATGCCATATTGGAAGGTTGCAAAAACAAGTCTACATGTCAAGCTAGCGAATTCTGGAAACAAGGCTACATGCTTGGCGGCATCTGGGAATAGCACACCTACACCCCTAGTCAGGAGTTTTCTATATTAGAAACCACAGCTTCAGTATAGTGCTAATATGATATTAAAATACGATGTGTACAAACAGAGTTATACATGTAATATTTAAAGTATAAAATACCTCAAGTATAAACAAGCCTGCATGCCTAGTGAGACGATACACAAGCACGTAACGCCGAGCTGTAAGCTGTGGTATAGTGTACTATACCACATGTATTTACAGATTTTATACTTACGGTATTTTGATTAAAATACTTTAAAGTATATTATGCTGGATAAATACTCGCTATGCAGCTGGGTAGAGGCCAGTGTAGGTACTACACGAGGGTCAAGCGACAGTAAATACACACTACTAAACTGTCGTGCGGTAGGTAAACAGTCACCTCCGTGAGCTAGACGGGGTTTGATATCCACACTGGATGCACAATACTAACAGAGCTCCGATTAACAGTTCTACATAGCCTGACAGAGTACGGATTAATGCTATCTAGCCAATATGACAAGAGTTCTGGTAAATAAGTACAAGAAAACTTGGTACAGTATTACTTAATTATACGCACTATGCAACAGGACAGATTATTGCTATATTTATTTATTTATTTATGTATTTATATTTATTTATGTATTTATGTATTTATGTATTTATGTATTTATGCAATTAATTTATGCAATTATGTATTTGTATATTTATGCAATTATGTATTTATGCAATTTTTATGCAGTTATGTATTTATGTATTTACGCTATTGTGTATTTATGTATATTTGTATTTATGTATTTATGTATTTATGTATTTATGTATTTATGTATATATGTATTTATGTATTTATGTATTTATGTATTTATGTATTAATTTATTTATTTATTTATGTATTTGTGTATGCATTTATTTATGTATGCATTTATTAAATTAAATAATTAATGTATTTAACTAATTAATTTATTTATTTTAATTAATTAATTTATTTTATTTAGTTTTATTTATTTATTTATTATTTATTTATTTATTTATTTATTTATTTATTTATTTATTTATTTATTTATTTATTTATTTATTTATTTATTTATTTATTTATTTATTTATTTATTTATTTATTTATTTAATTTATTTATTTATTTATTTATTTATTTATTTATTTATTTATTTATTTATTAATTTATTTATTTATTTATTTAATTTATTTATTTATTTATTTATTTATTTATTTATTTATTTATTTATTTATTTATTTATTTATTTATTTATTCAATTTATTTAATTTATTTATTTTATTTATTTTATTTATTTTATTTATTTTATTTATTTTATTTATTTTATTTATTCATTTTATTCATTTTATTCATTTTATTCATTTTATTCATTTTATTCATTTTATTCATTGTGTTCATTTTATTTATTTTATTTATTTTATTTATTTTATTTATTTTATTTATTTTATTTATTTTATTTATTTTATTTATTTTATTTATTTTATTTATTTTATTTTGTTCATTTTGTTCATTTTGTTCATTTTGTTCATTTTGTTCATTTTGTTCATTTTATTTATTTATTTTATTTATTTATTTTATTTATTTTATTTATTTTATTTATTTTATTTATTTTATTTATTTTATTTATTTTATTTATTTTATTTATTTTATTTATTTTATTTATTTTATTTATTTTATTTATTTTATTTATTTTATTTATTTTATTTATTTTATTTATTTTATTTATTTTATTTATTTTATTTATTTTATTTATTTAATTTATTTTATTTAATTTATTTAATTTAATTTATTTTATTTTATTTATTTAATTTATTTAATTTATTTAATTTATTTTATTTATTTTATTTATTTTATTTATTTTATTTATTTTATTTATTTTATTTATTTTATTTATTTTATTTATTTTATTTATTTTATTTATTTTATTTTATTTATTTTATTTATTTTATTTATTTTATTTATTTTATTTATTTTATTTATTTTATTTATTTTATTTATTTTATTTATTTTATTTATTTTATTTATTTTATTTATTTTATTTATTTTATTTATTTTATTTATTTTATTTATTTTATTTATTTTATTTATTTTATTTATTTTATTTATTTTATTTATTTTATTTATTTTATTTATTTTATTTATTTTATTTATTTTATTTATTTTATTTATTTATTTATGTATTTAATTTATTTAATAAAGAATTTATCTATTTATCTATTATTTGTCTATTATTCATCTATCTATACTATATTTTTTATATATGTGAAAAATACATTCAACCTTTACTCTGTAGCAAACAAAAGAACAACACACCATGTAGGACAACAACACAAAACAATTTGTCACACAAAACAAAATACAACACAAAATATACACACAACACAACTTGTAAAATAAAAAGACACTTTCTCATACAGGCAACCTGGGGATCCCACACCCACCGCCCCACCCCAATCCTACAGCAGACTTCAGAACTCTGCAGTTATATGGCGCTGAACGCCAATATGACGTGTTTATCGGGGATACACACGCACACAACAACAACAACAACAATAACCACACAAACAAATACACATACATACACACAGACACACTATGGCAGCCGGTTGAGACCACCACCAGCGACCCCAGCAGCAGACTCCGGGGCTCTAACTACTTTTTAAAAGGGCGCCAACACTTTCACGTGAGTGCAGGCGATCCGAAGATCCTCTGGTACCAAAAGGCGCTCACTCCCACGCTAGCAGTGCTCTTGTTTTGCACACATACACACACTACCAGGTCGGACAGATACTTAAACAACACCACCTACCCAGGCGCCAGCTTGCAACGACTTCCTACTGCACTTAGGTGGCGCCACTAGCGACAGCCTTCAGAACAGAGTTTCTTTCAGTTTCTTTTCAGTCTACCGCCCCCCCGCCCCCCCCCCCCCCCCGAAAATTTAAAGTGCCCCCCCCCCCGGAGAAAAAAGTCTGGAAGAATCACTGCTTCAGGACTCTTCGCGTATGGGGCGCTGAACGCCCAAGAGGGAATATCTTTTTCTGGCCTTTACACTGGCACACACACACTACGAAGGCCGATTGCAAGGCCTCCACTAGCAACCCTAGCAGCAGACTTCAGGACTCGGCATCTATGGATGGGTGTTCTCATTCAGGCCCTTATGCGCACAATTTAACACGCCACTTTCATGTATACATTCTGTACGCATACTAAGACGGACATATCACTCCAACGAAGCTTGGCGTAGATCTATATACCACTCTGTGAAGAAACATCACATATAAGTGCCTACGCATCGTTGGCGTGGTTGGTTAAATGTGAATTTCACTGGGAGAACAGCTCTACGTGCGGACGTTAAGGAAAATACGATTGGGATAATAGAATTTTATGAAAATCTAAGCGGACGCCCGATAGGGAAAAATGCGATATTTTATTTGCTAACCAGTAACGTGCAGATCTCTTCGAGACATTGAAACGCTTTGTATTATTGATAACTTAATCAAAATAAATAACATCATTTAATTGTTTTTAAGCATACATTTACATTTTTTTTCTACAAGAGTAAAATGGCTGATGTAGTATAGCTTAAGGTGGCCCATCGATGAGCAGGAGTGGGAAAGAAAACCATGTTTGAGAAAAAAAAATCGTGCTATTTTTTTTATTCCCCCCCCCCCCCCCGCAGATTTAATTAAATTTAATAGTAATAATAGCAACGGGAAAGCGCTGTGTCCTCAACGTTGGTCGAAGAGAGCTAATAAAATTTGTCCGTTGAATTTATCTCACCGAGGCCTATCGGATTTTCCCGCAGTTGATTTTCCTTCACTTCTAAACTTCAGCATAGAAGATGTATACTAAAAAGAAAAACACCGAAGTCTTTCCTTTTATTGCTAATTTTAATTTTTATATTTAGATCTAGATCTAGATCTAGATCTAAATCTAGATCTAGTTTTTTTTTTTGTTAAAAATAATTATGACATAAAAACCAAGATGAATTCAAGTCAGACAACCGTTATATTAAATTTTGGACACGAGAAGCATTGTTTTCTCCGTCTTGTAAAATCTTTCGATGGGCAAAAAAATTCGAGAAATTCATTTTCAAGAAACGATGAAGTAAGTGATCTAGATTCTAGGAGGGGCCTAATATCTATTATCTGATTATCTAGAGTCTAGATCTAGATAGACTCTAGTAAGAAAACCAGAGAACTGTGAAATTCATTCTCTGTGTACTAGAATAGACAATAAGACATAGATCTAGATTCTACGACTGTACACACTGTACTGTAGTTATACACTATACAAATGATTCACGACTGACAAGACTAGATAATAGAATAGATTCTACGATTAGAGGCCTATTACAAAAAATTTTGTCCTACTAATAATAAATTATAATGTTAGTCTAACACTAATGACTAAACTTTACTCTCTACACTATTACTAGATTTAAGACTAATTGAGTTTCTGTTAGTTAGTCACTGCTATTTGACGGTGACTGTTAAGACTAAGACATAGGTGTTATGCACTCTAACAAGATAAAGTAATAAACCCTACCCAGACTTACTCACAGAGTTTCTTCAAGGCATCTCCTACCCCCCCCCCCCCCCTGAAGAAAGTCTACCGACCCCTCAAACGAAATGGAATTTCAATTTATATAGAAAACATACACTTTTACCAGTGTCTGCCCCCTTGGAAAATGTTTTCTGCCCCCCCCAGAGAAAAAAGTCTGGAAGAAAAGCTGCTTACTTACTACTGACTCTTTTGATATAGAATCTGGAATCTAGAAGATCCAGTTCCTAGACTCCTAAGCTCTCAACTCTTAGCCTATAATTTTTTTAAATTTCGTGCAATTATTTTATTTTTTCTGTAATAGATCGTGGTATACCAGGCTGATTTGTCACCCAAACCCAATGCCTACTTTAGCGTGTACGGAAATGACAGTGTACTTACATCGGGAGATTATGTGCAAATAAATGGTTGGTATGGCAACAAGCTGGGCCTAAGAGATGAAGAACCGGTACATCTATTTATATTAATTTTTTTATATATCAACACAGTATTGTAAATTGTTTGTTTTTCACACAACATATAGTAGTAATTCTAGAAGTATGCTACTCTCTCATATAATTTTAAAAAAAATATGTTAAACATCTTTATGCTCATCAGTGTCTTATATTTTATATGTATTTGATCCAACATATGAAAGTAGTGTTGTGTGCTGTTACTGTATGATGATTAGTGTCTTATTCTTAGCCTGCTGTTTTATAGACCTATATTTTTTTAAAATTTGTAATGTGTGATAATAACGTTAAAAAAAAGCATATTTAAGGAAATGAAATTGCTGTAATTTATTTGGGGGGGGGGGGGGGATGGTGCATTTTAATTAGTGAGATGGGTGACTTATTCATCTCATTGATAATAATGAGTTCAATTTGTTAAATACTTCTTTAACCCTTTCAGTACCCCACATGCCAAGTATTGCATTTAAAAATAAAAGATAACTCTTATCTTTGACTATACTACACAATTTAAGTTAGGTCTAAAAGAGTGGTAGTAATATGATTTTCTGAAATTTAGGCAGTCTTTTTGGTTTGAACATTCAGATTTTCCATCTTTAATAAAAACATATTTTATAAGTATTTGAATTTTAACAGAAGAGTTTTGTATTAGTATTAGTGCCTGGTTAATTTTAAACTATACCAATGTTAAAAAAAGCATGTTTTCATTGCAATTATTCATTTAGAGATTCATGAAGGGGTTATTTATTGGAATATTATTAATTTTTGAACACTATTTAGTAACAGTTGTGCCCCCTTTATTATGGTTTTTAGTTATTTCAATTTGAGTTTGCGTTCATAAAACTGTTTACTATCTTGAGAAAAGTTTGCATCAGGTGCCATAGATATGGAGTAATGAAGGTTATTAGTAAACCACCTTTTTGACATAGCCAGCATGTCTTCAAACTTTAAACTATGTGTTTTCACCTAATTTTTCTAACCCTAAACCTAACATGCAGTTAGTACAGTTACCTCAGCAGTGTGGCTTCTTTCACATAATACAGAGTTAACTAGCCCTATTAATTTAAATGTAAACCCTTTCTTTAGTATATTTTCTCTTTTTTCATTGTCATCATATCTTTTTACTCTTAAGTAACAACTTTTAAAATATCTGACCAGTCCCTTACTATCGAACTGTTTACACTCATTTTTATACAATATCCACACACTCATGGATCCAGTGGATAAAGCTGAAAAGTAAAAAAAAAATTGCTCCCTCTAGTACTGATTGATTGTTTCAGCTGCCCTTAAAACAGTTGAGCAAAGTCCTGGCAGCCAAAATGGTGGAGATGGTGCCGCTTTCCCCAGATGATTGGGAAATCATTGTAAGTATAGATGTCACACTCTACGGTTGTCACAGAGTTTAGTTGTCACATTGTGCAGCTGTCACTGATCTAAGACATTACCCCCCCCCCCCTCGAGGGTTAATTGCCCCTGTCAATTAACCCCCCTCCCCCCCTCCCCCAATGGTGAAGAACCCAAACCCCAACACTAGCCCTATCCCTAATTGGGCGTGGGGTAATTGCCCTGAAGAGGAGGAGGGGGGGCGTCAAGCTTCTGGCTGTCACACCATATAGATGTCATACTGTATGACTGTCACATAATGTAGTTGTCACATTATGTAGCTGTCACATAATGTAGTTGTCACATTATATAGCTGTCACATAATGTGGTTGTCACATTATGTAGCTGTCACATAATGTGGTTGTCACATTATGTAGCTGTCACATAATGTAGTTGTCACATTATGTAGCTGTCACATAATGTAGTTGTCACATATAATAAGGTAGCTGGCATGGTATTGTCGTAACATGGTATAGCTGTCGTACCATAGCTATCACACTATTTAACTGTCACATTGTGTAATTGTCACATATTGATTTTATTTTGGTGTTTGTTCCACATATTCATATGCCTAGTATCGCATAGCCCTAGCCATAATAGCTAAACAATTGTTATAAGCCATGTGGGTATAGTTAATCACTGAAAACTTTTAATATAAAATTTTTGTTATCAGCAGTATGTGTCAAATTATGTGAATATCACATGTATAACTTATCAAGGGTAACTACATGTATATGTGTATAACTTGTCAAGCATAACTACATTTTGTAAATTACTAGCTCTATTGAATATTATACATCAGCGATAACCCTAATGGTTAAATGATCTAGCATGTATGTGATTTATACGTAAACAAAAGTACACTTTTTGTATTTAACCTCCACTTGATGTCTAACTACAAGATTACTTTTTAAAAATAATTATATAATTTATATGTATATGTAATATAGTTTATCAATCAGAACCTTTAATGAAAATAGCTTTGATATTACAATTGTTATCTACCCCATTTTAGCGATCAGAATATGTGATTACGGATAATCAGTTTGTTACCGTAACCCTTAAAGTGCGCGCCATGTGGCCTTATGTGTTATAAGTTATGTAACATCAAAGCCATGATCGTGGCTTGGCGCGCTTTAAGGTTTAAGAATTTTTTCTTGTAGACCCTTTTATATTCAAAGATTTAAAATTGTATTCCTGCTAGGAACGGAATCCTCGAAGAATAGAATCCGTCCTGCTGGATCAAGTCCGAGTTGTCTGGACGTCTCAGATATTTCCAATATGGATAGAAAAGAGCGTTTGCATCTACATGAAAATTAGTAGGTGTACTATTTCTTTTTGTTTTTAAAAATGTAATCACTATACACAAATGGCCCTTGAAAATGTTAAATCAGAAAGTGTTTCATATGTTGGTCATCAAAAAAAATGGGTGAGTGTTAGAATTTAAATAAATTTATACAACGAGATATTTTTCTTGCTGGGTAATTGCTTCTAACCAGGTTTAATGAAGGTTATAAATTAATTTTTATTAGATGTAATTTTATGTAATGTTTGGTAAAAATCAGCAAATTATTAGTTGTTGAGAGAAAGGTCACATCCAGATGGCGCCATTAATGTCAGTGTATTTTGAATCCAGCATCCACAGATCCAGCATCCGCTTGTGTCCTGTTAGAAAACGACACGCAGATCAATGTCTCCTCAAAAACTCGGGTGTTGAGTCCCCCGCAGTCGCTGGCCTTGAATCAAACCCCCACGACCCAAGGTTTGACACCTTCTAGTCAAGCAGGTATGTTTTAAATATTTAAAGTGGTTAATTAAAACTATACTTAATTAACTTCATTTAATTATTCTGTGATGAGAATCTTTTTTTTTTTTAAATTTTTATTTAATTAGAGTAGTTTTGTTTAAGTAATTTGATTATTACCTGAGACTTTTGTTAAAAACAAGGAAGCATAATTATAATAAATTATAATAAATCAGGTCGGCGTGGTTGAGTCGGTAAAGCTCATGGTTGCTAATCCGAAAAGTCTCGAGTTCGAACCCTCGGGCGATAAGGCTCGTTAGCTGGGGACAGCCACTCTTCTAGGAGAGACAACTCCAAAATCAAACAACTGCTGCCTTGTAGTTTGTTCTTGGTTGGACAAAGGCTATGGAAGCAAATCCAAAAAGAAAAGCAGGCTGAAATCGAAGTCAATGGCCTCAATGGCGCATAACCAGTTGACATGTAATCCTTAATTGTGATTGAAGCATGGTCGAGTCTGCAAAGCTCATGGTTGATAAATTCGAAAAAAAAAAGTCTCAAGTTCAAACCCTCTGGCAGATAAGGCCCCATCCCTCCCCACTAAAAATTAAGATCGAAGAAGAAGATAATAAATTAATATTCAATGAGCAGTATATTTTTTCAAATTAAAATAACGCAATTGAAATAGTTTAATTAAAATAGAGCATAAAGTATCCAGTGTTTTTTTTTTTTTTCTTAATATTTAAAAGAAATCATTTGATACAGTGAGTATTTTAAATCAGTACTTTGTCTTGGGTAAGAAACACTATAATATGATACTGTGGTACTCTTTTTTTCTCAGTACTGTAGATCTCAGCAATTGAGCACTACAGTATCTTAGATACTGATATAGTACTTTATACTGTGCACTACAGTACTCCACGCTAAGTGATGCATGGATTTGTTCGGTATTAAAAAAGTACCATTAGAATTGTGACTTGGTACTTTTATTTCATGCAGTACCCTAGTGAAAAATTGGATGTGGATTGTTTTCTTTGTGTTGTTGTGTTGATAAACTCAATCACATCTTCTACAATGTTTGGCTCCGTGCTATTTCACAATCCAAATCAGAACTCTAAGTTAGCCACCACAAACAAGGTCATTCACTCAACATAAAGTCAACCACCAAAGTCAACCACTCTAAACAAAGTAATCCACTCCATACAAAGTCAACCCCTCCACACAAAGTCAGAATCTCCACACAAAGTCAGCCATCAAAGTCAGCCCCTCCACACAAAGTCAGAATTTGCACACAAAGTCAGCCATCTAAGTCAGCCCCTCCACACAAAGTCAGCCATCTAAGTCAGCACCTCCACACAAAGTCAGAATCTCTACACACAGTCAGAATCTCCACACAAAGTCAGCCATCTAAGTCAGCCCCTCCACACAAAGTCAGCCATCTAAGTCAGCCCCTCCACACAAATTCAGAATCTGCACACAAAGTCAGCCATCAAAGTCAGCACCTTCACACAATGTCAGCCCCTCCACACAAAGTCAGCCCCTCCACACAAAGTCAGAATCTCCACACAATGTCAGAATCTCCACACAAAGTCAGCCATCTAAGTCAGCCCCTCCACACAAAGTCAGCCATCTAAGTCAGCCCCTCCACACAAAGTCAGCCCCTCCACACAAAGTCAACCCCTCCACATAAAGTCAACCCCTCAACACAAAGTCAACCCCTTCTCACACAATCATCCATTACTTAATCACCACCCCACCCAACAAAAAAATTCACCTATTTACAGACACTAATCTGGTGCAATACCTTCACCACCAGGATTACATATCAAACAGGATCTACAACACATATTGTGTATGGTGCCACTAACTAATTCTTCACTGCACATTCAGTTTAAAAAAAAAATCAATATTCTGTTATCCTGAACATTTTTTGGGGAAATCTATTGTTCTATTTATAGCTTCCTAGTGCTCTAAATATAAAATTTCCTGAAAATTGCCATGCATGGTTTTTATCAGAGTTTCTTAGTCTAGTTCTTGGAAGTTTTTGTTTATGCACATATTTGAGACAGTCTTAGACAAGTTGCCTAGTCGTCTGACTGGTTGTATCCCAACTTGTACTTGTGAATCAAATATCTTGTTCACATCATGCCTAGGTTAACTTTTTTTTCTGTTGAATTTTATTTTTTAATTTCTTGTTTCTAATTGATGAAGTTTTTCAGGATTATTTAAATTCTGTTGTAAAGGATTTTTTTCTTATCAACAATTCTTTAAACTATGTTGCAACTGTTTTCAGTGCCTTATCTTGTTAATTCTTTGCTTGTTTTGAGTATTTGTGAATTTGTATTATAATGTGGATATTCACAGTTGTGAAGATTTAAGGCATTGTTTTTTTCTGAGATTGTCCTTAAACTGTAGTGCAATTGGCTGTAGTATTTAACTGTTATGTATTGAGTTTTTTCTCATATATATTCTTATTTGTTTTGAATTATTTTCAATATCTAAGTTTCTTTGGTAGTGTAGAGAATATGATTTGCCAATGTGGATAAAAATAAAATACTTTACATTGTGATAAAGAGTGTGTTATCAGTCACTTAATGATTTGATGGATTTGAATTTTCTAATTTTAAAAGGAATTATTTCTAAACTAAACCCGAACTGCAGATGCTAGTCTATGAATAATGTCAACAATGTCAAGCCAGTGTTTTCATTTGACAAACAGCACTAGCAGTATAAAACCAGTTGACAAAAAAAGGCAGGAGCCACTGACTAATTTCTGTATTGTCGCCAGCCTCCCAGGTCAGATCCCGGGGTGACCTCTTGTCTGCCAGTGACTACGCCAGTATTGACACACTGGAACCACGCCCAGCGCTATTGAGCCCAGGCAGAGAGTCTAAGAAAAGCTCCAGGAACGTAAGGAAAAATGCAACCACCAATCCACCAGATAACCCTCTTGCACAGAGGCAGATTTCTCTAATGGATATGATCAAGTGAGGGGACACTTCCTACCAACATCTCACTATTTTATTTTAATGAACCTTTTACTAAGAATTTTTTTTAATAATTTAGTTGAAAGTCTGCTAATACTGACTCATGACTGCAAATAGTCTTGAACAGTATTTTATTTTAATGAACCTGTGACTATCTAAGAATTTTTTTATAAAATTTAGTTGAAATTCTACTAATACTGACTGCAAATAGTCTTGAACAGTATTTTATTTTTGTTTTTAGATAGTATGACGAATTTAAGTATAAAGTTGAATAATAATTAAGATGTTGTATTAGTTACAAAATTATTATTTTTTATTAAATTTAAAATATAATTAATTTTTGTACTTAAAATGTTGTATGTGGCCTCAACTCTAGACCTTTAATATTTAGTTTATATTTATCTAAACTTTTTCTTTAGCAATAGCTCACACTCCCTTATTACTATAAGTATGTATGTGAAATTTGTATAGCATGCTTAAAAAGTGTGAAAGATTGCAACAGTAAGGTTTATTTGAGTTCTAGACCTTTACAACAGATATGTTCAAATGCCAGAAAAAATGATAGAAATGTGATCAGTGCAAGCGCAAAGTGCATACATCTTGACCATTGTCTAAGGGAGCTAATTCAACAAACTAATTTACACATTTTAAATGCACTAAAAATGTAGTACCTCTATGATTATAAGTACTTCTGCAGTACCTAGTTTAGGGGATTATTAGTCATTGAAGAATTCTTTTTTTTTCTTTTCAAAAAAGCAATATATTTTCATAGTCCTAACTATTTTAATTATTTTATGTTTTGTAATTGAATTTTTACTTGATTTGTAACCCCCCCCCCCCTTTCCCCCTGAACTAGCAGACTAGTCATGCCTATGTGGAGGTAAATATTAATGCTAAGCCTGAATTCATGCTTGCACAATATGAGAAGCATACATTTGTCTGGTAACTTGTGCTGATGATTGTTACAGACGTGTTCCAAATTTGGGCATGATAGGTTTTGTCCCTTTGGAATGGATGTTTAGTTTTTTTTATGATTGTCTTCATTTTCTTAGCCTCAATTTTTATACATTGTGAAGTAGGGTGACAGCCAGACTGAGTCACAGAATTCATATTTCACCAACAGCCAGATTCACCTAATCCATCTTTCACATAGTCAGATTCACCTAATCTATGTTTCACATACAGCCAGATTCACCTAATCCATGTTTCATATACAGCCAGATTCACCTAATCCATGTTTCACATACAGTCAGATTCACCTAATCCATGTTTCACCAACAGCCAGATTCACCTAATCCATGTTTCACATACAGTCAGATTCACCTAATCCATGTTTCACATACAGTCAGATTCACCTAATCCATGTTTCACATACAGCCAGATTCACCTAATCCATCTTTCACCTAGTCAGATTCACCTAATCCATGTTTCACATATAGCCAGATTCATCTAATTTATACTTTAACTAAAACCAGATTCACATAATTCATGCTTTGCCTACAAAAAGATTCCTGTTAGCCTAAACCAGGGGTCTCCAAACTTTTCAGTCTGAGGGCCGCATTAACTATCAAATTTCATTTCGAGGGCCAGTTTGTTCCAGGCATGTCTTTGATTTTTCTGGGCAAAGTTCCTCAGCCATCACCAACAAACGTTTTTTCCGAGGACAAAAAGATTGCCGCGGGCCGGATGAGAGGACCTCGCGGGCCGCATCCTGCCTGCGGGCCGTAGTTTGGAGACCCCTGGCCTAAAGCCAGAGTCATATAATTCATTTTTTCCCACAGTCAGATCCCAATAATTGCTTTACATTACAGCCATTCACATTGCCTACAGCCAGCTTCACATAATGTATGCTTTGCCTACAACCAGATTCCTTTTTGCCTAAAACCAGATTCACATAATTCACGTTTATCCTACTGATCGGATGCATGCATATTTATAATTGTTCCCAGTGTTTACTTGGGTCTAAGTGTACAATGTACAAATGTAAGACACTGCCATCTTGAGGTACAAGCACAAGTAGTTGACCTGTTGACATAAATGTTTTCTGTATTTAGAGGAGAATCAGGAGAAAAAGATTTTAGCAAAAGCATGGGCTAACTTCAATGTTCATGCTCACCTGGTTACGGGTATTATTTAGGGCTGAGTATGCTCAGATAGACTATGGCCCGGATTTATGTTAGCAAAAGCTTGCTCTGTTTATTGATTGATCTGTTTATTGATTGATCTGTTTATTGATTGATCTGTTTATTGATTGATCTGTTATTCTTTTCTTTATAGTAAGGCTAAAAGGTTTTTTCTTTCTTTTTCAAACATTTCCTTTCATGAATGTTTTTTTAAAAAATATTTTTATGTTAAGTGTTGGAAATATTATCCTTGGATCCTGTTTGTACAGCCAGTAGTGTTGATTGTTTTAACAATTCTCAAGTCACTTGTTGTTTGTCTTGTAACCCCTTTCATAATTCCAACACTGTTTTTTTTTATATTTTTAAAACTATGTTTTTATAACTACCTATGGTAAGTATATTTAAAAAAACCTCATAAATATTATGGTATACCAACAGTCTCCATTATTTGGGTTTGAGTCTGTAGGATGTCCCTGAGTACACCCAACTCTGATGGGTACCTAACGCAAGTTAGGGAAACAAAGGCATCAGGGCATAATGGTGATCACATTATCCCTGTGTATTCTGAGGTCATTGAACCAGATCATTTATCTGCCCCATGTGTCTCTGGCACAAACAAGAAAGATGATGACATTACAATTTACTGTAAGATAAAAAGCAATGAAATATGAAAGGAGAGTTATGTTTCTGGTGCTTTGCACTCACCATCACAGTAATGAAAAATTGAGTGATTCATCAATTTCTTAAATCTTGTTTAAAGAGTAGCGTGATGTTGTTTTAGTTAATACAACCAACATTTGGATTATGAAAATTTATGGAATTTTTTTACTGCTGATACTGACTATTTTTTTTTTAATTATGTTTTTTTTAAGTAATGAATTAGTAATTAATTTTTACTTTTTTACTTTCTCGTATATACAAAGTATGGAGAAAGTCTTGTAAACTTGCAATGAAAAAAAATCAAGATTTTTGCAAATCTCTACTTTTTATAGCTCCCTGTTCCAGAAAAACATAATTTTGCAATCTTGTCCATGTGTGTGTGTGTGTGTGTGTCTGTAAAAATGATAACTTGAGTACCGTTACAGCTAGGTTGATAAAATCTCATTTATAAGTATTATATCAAAATCATAGATCTGTATCAACTTTTGAGCGATATCCGATAAACGAAACTGAAACTTTTTCTACTTTGAATTTTTCAAAAGCCTATAACTTGAGTACTATTTCAGATAGATAAATGAAATTTCACATGTAAGTAAAAGATCTAATTCTCTGCCTTCTATCAAATTTTGAGTAATTTCCGTTGAACAGAAGTAGTAATTTACGCTATTCCCGATTTCTCAAAAAACTCATGTGAATTTATAAAGTACTAAATATATTCCACACTATTATTCACATTTTGTATGGCATTCATTTGGTGTGCAATTTTTTTCTACGAGATTTTATTCTATTTTTAAAAGTTTAAGTGTTTAAAATGGATAAAATCATGTCTATATCCCGAGTTGCCTGTTGTTTAATGTAAGAATATTCGAGAAAGTTTACAGGAGATCACTCCCGGTTTATTTGAGATGTTTTATTTTACTTTTTCAAGTAAAATAAAATTATATATGTTGTAGTAGTCACTTATTAAAATGTTATTTATTTATCTGGCTAACTGTTTATGTTTGCTCTTCTAGATTTCTCAGCTTCCGCAAGAAAGAGGAGTACGACAACAAGTCTGACTCCGACACTGGGTCAGGCATCGACTACTCCATGTCCAACCTCCCCCCACGAAGCAGCATCCTGCGCGTGCAACCGCTCAAGCGCAGCTGCACATTGGAGGAATGCTTCCCCGGCATGAAGCCTGGGATCAAAACAGCTATCATTTCTGGAATTAAATCAACCTCCAGGTCCAACAGCAAAGTCTTCCCGATAAACGTTGAACCGAAATCCGACGAGGAGATGAAAGGTCGATTCCCGTATGAGCTATTCCAGCCGTCAACAATATACGTGGACGCTGAGAGCACTAAAAGTGAACGACTTCTGCATCCGTATCTCCCGTACCTGCCTCGGTGTTTTATCGCTAGAATCCAGAAACTTTACTCACCTAATGACAAAATAGAACTGGCGAAAAGCAGACGGACCAGTTCCACAGGGAACAACACAGAAGGGCAGGCCGGGACGACAGATGGGTCATCTGGCACTGATGCCAGCCCAGGGAGCGTTTGTTACGTCAGGGTTGTGGCTATTGACAGGAAGATGGGGTTGACCGACGATGCGTGGCAGGATGCGGCTGATAGGGTACTTAGTGAGCAGCCGTTGTTGTATGGTAAGTCCCAGCATTTTTGCTTAACCTTTGAATAATTAACTGTGTAATTAGTATTAATTTATTTTGGCACTATTTCATTTGACCAGAATTCTGATAATTTTTAAAATTAGTTTTCGTGTGTTTGTATTGGCATATGTATTCATCTCTTTAATTTTTTAATTAGTAAGTAAATTGTTTTCTGTTTAATTAGTGTTAATTAATTTTTGGCAATATTTAATTCAACCTGAATTTCTAACTATTTTTAAAAATTAGTCTTTGTTGGATTTTATTTGCAACCTTACTCAACTCTTTAATTTTATAATTAGTGTTAACTAATTTGTTTTTGTTTTTTTATTATATGACTTATGTTAGTATACCAAACTAATTTGATTGACTACTAGTTTAGACCATAAAGTACTAGTTTTATCCCTTGCATTCAACAGATCAATTAAATACATATCTACCCCTGGCTAGTAATGCCCACCTAAAATATGATACTTTAGTAATGTCCACCTTTCTTTGTCTCTATCCCTGGCAAGTAATGTCCTCCTAAAATTTTATTGTGTAAAGTAATGTAGACCTGTCTGTACCCCCAGGCCATGCCATAGTGCCAGACCTGTTGAGACGTCAGCTCAAGCTGGAAGCCACCAGTTCTGTCTGGCTACAGACGGGTCCAGTGGAGATGGTCACGCCACGCAAGGTCTCCATCTACCCAGCCAGTACCTCCTTGGTGAGCTCAGTTTTATACTGCTCAGTTTAGCATACTGCTTGTTTTTATATAGCTGATGTACCATAAAACAAACTATAATCCATATGTATGAATTAGACCCTCTTTAAAGGTGTCGACATGGTGGGGTCGGTTAAAGCTCTTGCTAAACCGAAAATTCCCAGTTCGAACCCCAGGCAGATGAGGCTCGATAACTGGGACAGAAACTCTTCTAGGGGAGACAACTCCAAAATCAAACAACTGCTGCTGTGTAGTTTGTTCTTGGTTGGACAAAGGCTATGGAAACAAATAAAAAAGAAAAGCAGGCTGAAAAAGGAGTCAATGGCAGATATGGCATGTAGCAGGTTGACTCATGCAATTTTAATTGTGTTGGAGGAAATCCAGTCTATCATTTCAACTAAAAACTAAGAAGAAGGAAACAAAAACTCTCTATAACATAAACCATAACACATGTATAAATATAACCCTGACTATACAATAAGATAAACAATAACACATGTATCATGTATGTATATAACCCTGACTATACCATAAGATAAACAATAACACATGTATGAATATAACCTTGACTACACCATAAGATAAACAATAACACATGTATGAATATAACCCTAACTATACCATAAGATAAACAATAACACATGTATTAATATAACCCTGACTATACCATAAGATAAACAATAACACATGTATGAATATAACCCTGACTATACCATAAGATAAACAATAACACATGTATGACTATAACCCTGACTATACCATAAGATAAACAATAACACATGTATGAATATAACCCTGCTTATACCATAAGATAAACAATAACACATGTATGACTATAACCCTGACTATACCATAAGATAAACAATAACACATGTATGAATATAACCCTGACTATACCATAAGATAAACAATAACATATGTATGACTATAACCCTGACTATACCATAAGATAAACAATAACACATGTATGAATATAACACTGACTATACCATAAGATAAACAATAACACATGTATGACTGTATCATAAGATAAACAATAACACATGTATGAATATAACCCTGACTGTACCATAAGATAAACAATAACAAATGTATGAATTTAACTTTATATAAACCTTTTCTGTTCCCAGCCCAGCAAGATGACAACAGATCTACTGAAGACATTTTTTATCAAGTACATAAAGCAGTGTGCCACTGAGAAAGTCCCGCTTGTTGTCTTCCAGGGCATTTTCCTCAAGTACATGGTCGCAAATGGTCAGTCCCTGTAGGTCGTGGTTGCAATTAAGCAGTCCCTATAGTTTTGGTCTCAAATAGTCAGTCTCTATAGGTCATGGTCTTAAATAGTCAGTCTCTATAGGTCATGGTCTTAAATAGTCAGTCTCTATAGGTCATGGTCTTAAATGGTCTGTCCCTGTAGGTCATGGTCATAAATGGCCAGTCCATGTAGGTCATGGACTCAAATGGTCATTCTGTTTATGGCTTGGTCACAAATGGTCATTTTATATAGATCATCATGTATTTCTACAAGAAAAAACAAAAGTAATGAGTTTAGATTCCTGATGTAAATCCCTCATTAACTCAATGCTCTCTAGTCCAGCCGGCTCTGATAGGGAAAGTAAAGGCAGCTAGGCATAGAACTGACCACTATCTCTTCAAATACTGAGAACATCACTATAACCAGTTGAAATGTTACTCCCCAATAGAACTGGTGAATAAGTTCATCCTATAAGACCTGGGCCACATTGGTTTTCTTTTCTCATGATTCCCAAAGCCTGCAAGAATTTCTTTTGAGTCTAAGAATTTTATTCACATGATTTCTAATTAATAGAAAAGATCCTTTGATTTATCCATATTTTGGTCTCATTATTCGTAATTTAAGATCTTTTATTTATCAATATTTTGGTCAATTGATTTCTTATTAGAGATTCATCAATTTAACTATAGTTTAGTCACATGATTTCTGATTAAAGATCTTTTGATTTATTGATATTTTGGTCACATGATTTCTTATAAACGATTCTTTAATGTCTCATTAATGATTTGTTGCAGATCCCTTGGAAGTTCAGCTGGTGTTTTATGGAGAGAATGACCAGTACCACCCCAATGGAGTGGCCATGCTGAACGAGGTCAACATTGACTACGTGCTGCTGACGGTGGAGCGTGATATCAAGACCGACAAGGCCAAGGTCATCAACAGGATGTTGTCGTACGTCCAGATATCTGACATGGACCCAAAACCTCACTCGGTCAGCTTGAAACAGCTGGGGTAAGTCTCACAAACCTCTGTCAGCTTGAAACAGCAGGGGTAAGTCTCACGTCATCAACAGGATGTTGTCGTACGTCCAGATATCTGACATGGACCCCAAACCTCACTCGGTCAGCTTGAAACAGCTGGGGTAAGTCTCACGTCCGCAGCATCTTGCGTCAGGTTCACCTAGAGTACTTTGGTCTGTTCATAACACTTAGTTAAATAACCTGCTTAGGTGAAGCTCCCGTGATCTTGCAAAACCCACCATGGTGAGTTAAATAACAGCCTTATTCAGGTAAAAACCACCTAGGAAGGTAAAATCCACCTATCAGGTAAAACTCCCTTGGTCAGGTAAAAACCACCTAGTCAGGTAAAAACCACCTAGTCAGGTAAAAACCACCTAGTCAGGTAAAAACCACCTAGTTAGGTAAAAACCACATAGCAAGGTAAAAACCACAGAGGAAGGTTAAAAGCCACCTAGCAGGTAAAACTGCCTTGGTCAGGTAAAAACCACCTAGTCAGGTAAAAACCACCTAGTCAGGTAAAAACCACCTAGTCAGGTAAAAACCACCTAGTCATGTAAAAACCACCTAGTCAGGTAAAACTGCCTTGGTCAGGTTAAAACCACCTAGTCAGGTAAAAACCACCTAGTCAGGTAAAAACCACCTAGTCAGGTAAAAACCACCTAGTCAGGTAAAAACAACCTAGTCAGGTAAAAACCACCTAGTCATGTAAAAACCACCTAGTCAGGTAAAACTGCCTTGGTCAGGTAAAAACCACCTTGTCAGGTAAAAACCACAATAGTCAGGAAAATCCAACTCCAATAAAAATTTATCCAGGTAACAACTAGTTTACAAAAAAATAAATAAATGCAAGCCAAGTTTATGTCAAGCATCAGATATAGCTATTTGTATTTTCAATTTTAATTACATTATCCTTCCTAATTAATTAAATTATTAAGTAAATTATTTAAAAATAAACATTCCACAAATATTGTTTTATCCTGCTAATATAAACCAAAAAGTCTTTTTCCTTATGTTCCAGGGGTGTCAGAAGTATAGCCGAGAAAGCCCTCACCCACATGCACACATGTCTGGGGGTGCGGCCCCTGAGCCAGCATACTTTCATGTCCCGCCCCGGCCTCTCCCACGGCATCCTGCTCATCACTGGACCCAAGGGCTCGGGGAAGACAACTCTGGTGAAAGCACTGTGTCGCAGGGTCAGTCACCTCCCCATTATGGCTCACATCACCATGGTAGACTGTAAATCTTTCAGAGGTAATCATTCAGCTCAAAACTAATTAGGTAATTAGTCTTTAAATCAGGCAGGAAATTATAATTTCTGTACTTGTTACAATTTATTTTGCCTTAAATTGTCTTGATTGTTTTTTTTTAATATAGTTAAGTTCTAACAAATGTTTGATAACTTATTCAAAATTGAAAACTGATAGCACAGGTGAAGTAGAGTTTATTTGTTTTTACAACTGTTGTGATCAGTGCAGAGCAAAACAGCTTTTGCTATAGAATAACTTTTGGTGTCATCTGTTTTATGCGTCTATGTCAATTATTTGTAACGTGGTGTTTCGATGTCTGTTGTCATGTTCAGGCATGCCACTGACATATGTCTCATTTCAGGTGTGTCACTGTCACATGTCACATTTCAGGTGTGTCACTGTCACATGTCACGTTTCAGGTGTGTCACTGTCAAATGTCACATTTCAGGTGTGTCACTGTCACTTGTCACATTCCAGGTGTGTCACTGTCAAATGTCACATTTCAGGTGTGTCACTGTCAAATGTCACGTTTTGTGTGTTACTGTCAAATGTCACATTTCAGGTGTGTCACATGTCACATTTCAGGTGTGTCACTGTCACATTTCAGGTGTGTCACTGTCAAATGTCACATTTCAGATGTGTCACTGTCAAATGTAACATTTTGGTGTGTCACTGTCAAATGTCACATTTCAGGTGTGTCACATGTCACATTTCAAGTGCGTCACTGTCAAATGTCACATTTCAGGTGTGTCACTGTCAAATGTCACATTTCAGGTGTGTCACTGTCAAATGTCACATTTCGTGTGTCACTGTCAAATGTCACATTTCAGGTGTGTCACATGTCACATTTCAAGTGTGTCACTGTCAAATGTCACATTTCAGGTGTGTCACTGTCAAATGTCACATTTCAGGTGTGTCATTGTCACATGTCACATTTCAGGTGTGTCACTATCACATGTCACATTTCATGTGTGTCACATGTCACATTTCAGGCGTGTCACCGTCAAATGTCACATTTCAGGCGTGTCACTGTCACATTTCAGGTGTGTCACTGTCCAGCATCCAGAAACAGCTGGAACAATTCTTTGACGAGGCTGCCTGGCGTGAGCCGTCCATCATCGTGTTCGACAACCTGGACGCCATCACACCAGCGCCATCTGGCCCAGAGAATGAGATGAACGCTGAGGCCCTCTATGCTGCCAGATTTGCACAAAGTAGGTCACGTCGACCTGGTTTTAATATTTTTAGTTAGCTTTTCTCCCTTTATAAATTCAACACCATTTCTTCTTGTATTATTTTTTTCCTTTTTGTGTAATATTGTAACCTGTTCTTCTTGTATAAATATGTGACCATATTTCCTCATGTAATATGACCTCCATGTCAAATTGTGTAACAACATCTTGTGTAATTGTATCCCCATTTCTCAGTGTATAATTTCATGATCTTCACTATTGGTATAATTTTATGACAATTTTTCATGTATAGCTATGACCATTTCTACTTGTGTATTTTTATTTTGTGATCTTAGCCCCTTGTATAATTGTGACCATTTCTACATGTATATTTTTATTTTGTGATCTTAGCTCCTTGTATAATTGTGACCATTTCTACCTGTATATTTTTATTATGTGATCTTAGCTCCTTGTATAATTGTGACCATTTCTACCTGTATATTTTTATTTTGTGATCTTAGCTCCTTGTATAATTGTGACCATTTCTACTTGTATATTTGTATTTTGTGACCTTAGCTCCTTATATAGTTGAGACCATTGCTCTCTAGCTACAATTGTCACAGTTGCTTCTGGTATTACTGTAAGCATAAAATCCTGTGACCTTTGCACCTGGTATAATGAAATGACCTTTCACCCTTGCAGTCATGCAGGGCCTAATCAAGTTTGAGGTGGAGAACAACAGCCGGCTGGCGGTGATTGCCACCAGCAAGTCCAGCTCCTCCCTGCACCCCACCCTCGTCTCATCCAGGGGCATTCACTATGTGCAACAAACACTCAACATTCCCTCCCCTGATAGGGTAGGTCATTTTTAGAAACCATTTGTTTTTTTTTAAATTACATTGTTGATTGATTAAACTTAGAATTTAAAGGGAAATACCTAAAATTAAAATTTTCACTCGTTCAATTAAAAGTGTTGAAACGTTAACTTAAAAGGGAATAAGTAACATTAAAATCATCACTTTCTTGTTTGATTGTCTTGTGGTTGGATCCTGAATTTGGGAAAATAAATATGCAAAGCGCATATATAAGCAAATTTCATTCACCACAGACTCTGCATATCATCATCTACATCATCATCTTTTCCCGTTTGTACCCAAGACACATTGGGCGGATGAAGTAGAGTTCATCTGTTTCCAATACCTTGACATACAAGGGTATAGTGTGGTCATCACTATGCCCAACCCCCATTGTTTCCGTAACATGAGTTAGGTACCCATCAGAGCTGGGTAGATTCAGGGACTTTGTACTGATTTGAACCCGGATTCGAACTCAAGACTTTTGGTTTAGCAGTCTAACTAGGCCAATCCATCCCAGTGTGTGTCACTTATTGGGTGCAAATGTTAGTTCAATGTTGTGTTTCAAAAACCAGAGTTCTAACATTACTATGATCTCTCATCAGATTGAGGTCTAACATTACTATGTGATCTCTCATCAGATTGAGGTCTAACATTACTGTGTGATCTCTCATCAGATTGAGGTCTAACATTACTATGTGATCTCTCATCAGATTGAGGTCTAACATTACTATGTGATCTCTCATCAGATTGAGGTCTAACAATACTATGTGATCTCTCATCAGATTGAGGTCTAACATTACGATGTGATCTCTCATCAGATTGAGGTCTAACATTACTATGATCTCTCATCAGATTGAGGTCTAACATTACTATGTCATCTCTCATCAGATTGAGGTCTAACATTACTATATGATCTCTCATCAGATTGAGGTCTAACATTACTATGTCATCTCTCATCAGATTGAGGTCTAACATTATGATGTGATCTCTCATCAGATTGAGGTCTAACATTACTATATGATCTCTCATCAGATTGAGGTCTAACATTACTGTGTGATCTCTCATCAGATTGAGGTCTAACATTACTATGTGATCTCTCATCAGATTGAGGTCTAACATTACTATGTGATCTCTCATCAGATTGAGGTCTAACAATACTATGTGATCTCTCATCAGATTGAGGTCTAACATTACGATGTGATCTCTCATCAGATTGAGGTCTAACATTACTATGATCTCTCATCAGATTGAGGTCTAACATTACTATGTCATCTCTCATCAGATTGAGGTCTAACATTACTATATGATCTCTCATCAGATTGAGGTCTAACATTACTATGTCATCTCTCATCAGATTGAGGTCTAACATTATGATGTGATCTCTCATCAGATTGAGGTCTAACATTACTATGTCATCTCTCATCAGATTGAGGTCTAAGATTACTATGTGCCCTCATCAGATTGAGGTCTAACATTACTATGTATCTCTCATCAGATTGAGGTCTAACATTACGATGTGATCTCTCATCAGATTGAGGTCTAACATTACTATGTGATCTCTCATCAGATTGAGGTCTAACATTACTGTGTCATCTCTCATCAGATTGAGGTCTAACATTACTATGTGATCTCTCATCAGATTGAGTTCTTACATTACGATATGATCTCTCATCAGATTGCTAGGATGGAGATCCTAGAGGCCATACTGCACCACCACAACAGCATCACCATCGAGACCACTAAAACACTGGACTTTCAGCAACTGGCGGCCAAGATGGAAGGTTACGTGGCTAGGGATGTCGAGTCACTAGTTAACATGGCCATACACGCTAAGTTGACACGTGAAACAGAAAGTGAGTGCTAAGTATTAGAGAAAGTGAGTGCTAAATTTTAGAGAAAATGAGTTCTAAGTATTAGAGAAAGTGAGTGCTAAATTTTAGAGAAAATGAGTTCTAAGTATTAGAGAAAGTGAGTGCTAAGTTTTAGAGAAAGTGAGTGCTAAGTTTTAGAGAAAGGGAGTGCTAAGTTTAAGAGGAAGTGAGTGCTACGTTTTAGAGAAAGTGAGTGCTAAGTTTTAGAGAAAGAGAGTGCTAAGTTTTGGAGAATGTGAGTGCTAAGTTTTAGAGAAAGTGAGTCCTAAGTTTTAGAGAATGTGAGTGCTAAGTTTTAAAGAAAGTGAGTGCTTAGTTTTAGAGAAAGTGACTGCTAAGTTTTAGAGTGAGTGCTATGTTTTAGAGAAAGTGAGTGCTAAGTTTAGAGAAAGTGAGTGCTAAGTTTTAGAGAAATTGAGTGCTAAGTTTTAGAGAAAGTGAGTGCTATGTTTTAAAGAAAGTGGGTGCTAAGTTTTAGAGAAAGTGAGTGCTAAGTTTTAGAGAAAGTGCGTGTTAAGTTTTAGAGAAAGTGAGTGCTAAGTTTTAAAGAAAGTGGGTACTTAGCTTTAGAGAAAGTGATTGCTAAGTTTTATAGAAAGTGAGTGCTTCAACACCTTCTTCCACTTAGTGCTTTGCTGTTATAGGGATCACTCAAACATTACTTTTAGACTACTAAACTGTTTCATCTTTCCCTCCCTCCACCCTAATCCCTCCTCCCAACAGCTGCCAATTCCAAGCTGACCCTCACCCAGGAAGACTTTGATGCAGCACTGCTGACCTTCAAGCCAGCATCCACCAGGAACGTCAAGCTCCACAAACCTGGTGAGCTGGGATGGGACGATGTCGGGGGACTGAAAAATGTCAAGACTGCGCTGGTGGAGACTTTAAAGTGGCCCACTAAAGTTTGTATACCTTTTTTTTTAGTTTGTTTACCTTTTCTTAAGTTTGTATACATTTTCTAAAGTTTGTATACCTTTTCTTAAGTTTGTAAACCTTTACTGAAGTTTGTAAACCTTTACTGAAGTTTGTATACCTTTTCTTAAGTGTGTATACTTTTTCTAAAGCTTGTATAACTTTTCTAAAAAAATTATATTTCAACCTGCCAATTGAAAAATAATTTAAATTTGTATTTTGATTTTCATAAATGTATTTAATGTTCATTTCTTTTTTTAAAGACTAAGGAAAATAAATTGTTTGTGTTATTCTAAAACTATTCTAAACTAAAGTAGTAATCTTTTAAACTTTTTAACTTAGGAAATGCATCTGTGATGTAAATGAATTCTAAAATTTAGCTTACCGTATACTTAACATTAAATCACAAGCATAACACCTCAATCCACTTACCCTGGACATTTTTCCTGACATTAACCCCACAATGAGCCGGACAAAGTCATTTTAAATTAAGCCATTGTTTTAAATCTTTTTTTTTAGAAAGTTATAAGGAAAACTTCTTATGTGACTGGTGTAAACATTTTCTGAAAATGTGTGTTGATCTTTAGTTTACAGCTTTATCACTCAGCTGTTTTTATTCCCCAGCTCTGTTTAGTCCTCAGCTCTATTTAGTTTCTAGCTCTATTTAGTACTTAGCTCTATTAAGTACCCCTCTCTGTTCAGAGCTGACCTTTTTTGTGATCTATTTGCAGTACCCAGCTCTATTTAGTACCTAGCTGTATTCAGTACCAATCTCTGTTTAGAGCTGACCTTTATTGTGATCTATTTACAGTACCCAGCTCTGTTCAACTCCTGCCCACTGAGGCTGAGGTCTGGAATCCTGTTGTACGGGGCGCCAGGCACAGGCAAAACTCTGTTGGCTGGGGTGGTGGCTAAGGAGTGTGGTCTGAACTTCATCAGCATTAAGGTAGTGTACGTTAACTTTCTCCTGGGGTCATATGGTTTCCCCAGGGTGGGGGGGGGGGGGGGGGGGTGGCTAAGGAGTGTGGTCTGAACTTCATCAGCATAATGGTAGTGTATGTTAACTTTCTCTTGGGGTCATACAATTTCCCCTGGGGCTGGGACATTAACTTTATCTCAGGCATGGGTTCTCATGGTTGGATGACAGAGCATAGAGCTACAACCCAAAAGTCTCAAGTTTAAAACCTGGATTCATGTCAGTAGAACCTCCCTGAGTCCACTCAGCTCTTATTGATACCTGACACATTAGGGAAGGTAATTGCAGCTGGGCATAATGGCCAGTCCATCCAAGGTCACTGAAACAGATGAACTCTACTTCACCTGCCCCAAAGGGTACTTAACTTACAGGTCTGGGATTGTGACCAAGGAATATAAACCTCAATGCTGAACTTCATCAGTATTAAGATTGGCACATCTGCATTCCCCAGCGCTGGATGAATATTGTGTACAAATAAATTTTGTCCCCAATCTTGCATAAACCTACCTGTGTTTTCTTCTCTCTAGGGCCCTGAGCTGTTGAGTAAATATATTGGTGCCAGTGAACAGGCTGTCAGGGACTTATTCATCAGGTCATATTTTATCTAGTGTGTTAATAGTGGTTACTTCCCTTGTATTTTAGGTTTATATCAGTTGCTTCCCCTACCCTATAAAACTTTGTTTTCAATATTCACATTTTTCAAATTAATGCTGTATATTAGATTATTTTTTTCTTTTTAACGATTTTTTCCCACATGTTATATTTTTAAAATTTGGTTTCTGAAAGGTGTAAATTAGTTGCTTATAAATATGCATAGGGTGAAACCTAGATTGTCTTATTTTTAGTGATATTCCTATAATTAACTTTTGTTGACCAAATTTTCTTTCAGAGCCCAAAGTGTGAAGCCATGCATACTTTTCTTTGATGAGTTTGACTCTATTGCACCCAAGTAAGATTTGTTCTTTATGCATGCTTTTTTTCCATTAATGATTCAACTATTGAGTTGTCTAACTTTTCACAAAACGCTGGGACAACCTTGAATCCTTGCGGAAATTGAGCTAACATGACATCCCATAAAGGGCATAATAAAAACGTTTGAAACCTCTTCCTTCCAAGGGTGTTTCAAAATTAAAATGTTTTTTTAGTTGTTTAGTTACATTTCTATTCTTATATTCTTTCCTAAAAAAAAATGTTACTTTCTTTTTACCCTGGTTATACAGAACGTAATAATTATTCAAGGTATATTGGACTACCTTACCCTTTAAAAAGATTTTTTGTCCTACACTTTTTAACTGGGGATGTTTAGGGCTATGTTGTAGATTGGGGATTGCCTGAGATTACTCTTAACACTGTAGGACATCTTCAAGTCCACTAGAGGTGCATGATTTCAACCAGTGACAGTAGGATTATCTCATTATTGTACTGGCTCTACAATCACATTCTTTCTATATTGGTGGTAAAAATAAATTAACTCCATCTGCTTCCACTGGTTTGCGAAAAGTGCCCTTAACAAAGTCTGTCTTATAAATATATTATATTACTGACAAAAAGTTTTTATTTTGTCCAGACGAGGTCATGACAGCACTGGCGTCACTGACAGGGTGGTGAATCAGCTGCTGACACAACTGGATGGGGTCGAAGGGCTTCAAGGTGAGATGGTGACACATGCCCCCACCCCCTATGCCCGACTGCAACTTTAAAATCTTCTCTGTTAGGTTTTTCTGACAGACAGAAATACTGTTGTCAGTTTTTTTAACTCAGTTGTTTATAAAACATGGGATGGCATGGTCTAGCTGTAGAGCGCTCGACTGCTAACTGAAAATCTTGACTGAATCTGTTTCAAGTCAGTAGAAGGTCGAGTCTGGAAAGTAAAGGCGGCTGGGTATAGTACTGACTACATTATTCCTTTCATATGCTGAGGTGACAGAAACAGGTGAACTCTACTTCACTTGTCCTATCAGGTTTTAAAAAGGAACCTTACTGTTAAAAAACATATCACCATAACCTAAAGTCATGACCTTAGGCTGTACGGCTGGAACTAGCATTCAGTTCAAAGAACAAAAGGACCATACCTGCATTTCTTAACACACAACTATCATATGAAAGTGTGGAAACTATATTTTGATGTATTTTATTACAAGAAAATTGTTTTTCATGTAACACTTATACATTATTCTGGTTTCAAAGGTCATACTCATTATGTTGATTTTTTTTTTTCAGTGAATCTTAAGAAATTTTAAAAAAGAACCATACACTTTGATAGTCTAAGATGTTAATTAAAAATATTTTTAAAAGTAGAAAAAACTTTTAAAATTTTGTTTTAGGGATCTATGTGCTGGGCGCCACAAGTCGGCCAGATTTAATTGACCCGGCTCTTTTGAGGCCAGGAAGGTTGGACAAATCCATGAGTTGTGACTTGCCAAATAAGGTAGATTTGTGATTTCTTTCTTGGTTATTATAGGGCAATATTTTTCCTTAGGCCACAATGGCACAGAAGTATTTCCTGGCCATGGTGGGATAAAATTTCTCCTTGGCCATCATGGTTGATTGGGTACAAACATGGACCAAAGAAAAATATTAAAAAATGTTTAACTACACTATAAATTTTTGGAAAAAATTTATTTTTGCAACTTTCTAGTCGATGTAGGTAAAAGCAAGCCTCACAGTATCACAATGAGTACGGCTCTAAATTTTGAAAAGCTAATTTTTGCACCTAACCTCAAAACGTTTCTAACATAACTTAATCTCCAGGATGACCGCTACGAAATTCTCGTCGCCCTCACCCGAAAAATGTCTCTGGCTGATAATGTGAACTTACAGGAAATTGCAGAAATCTCCGAGTTCTTCACCGGCGCCGACCTGAAGGCTCTGCTGTACAACGCGCAACTGAAATCTATCCATGAGCAGACAGAAGCTGCGCGCTGTATGAAGGACGGTGTCTTCAGAATTCAAGGAGATGCCACAAAATGCATCGCTTTCAGGCGGCCGTCTCTAGTAGGTTACGAGAATTTTACGTCTAAGCTTCATATTTCTTCTTCAAAATCTGCTTCCTTGAACACGTCAGTTGATGAATCGATGCCGAGTAATGAATCCTCCAATAAAAACTCACCGATCTCCCCCAAATTTCAAAAGTTAGATTCAGGGGATAGGTTTAGTAAAACTCTGGCCGGCAAAGTTGTAAAAGGGGAGTCATTCGCCCATCCGAACGCGGTTCCAATTCTAGATGAGGAGGAAATTGAAACCCAAGATCAGCCGGAAACAGTGGGTCAGGTTGAGAAAAATCTGAAGTATATTGATGACATTGAAAGTCCAACTGTTGCCTCGGAATCTTTATCCGACACCAGTCTAGCGGCTTCGACCTCACAGTCTCAATCCTTAGAAGCTCCAGCTCCACCATCCGGTGATGCTGTTGCCGATGGCAACAAGAAACCATTGTCACAGAATGAGCTGGATGATGTTGTTAAGAAACTGACCAACGTGGTGGAATCACGTAACGCGCCTCAGGAGATTCACTGGCCGCACAAAGAGAAGGCTCTTGCGGCTCTCGCGGCTCTGCAGCGCCAAACTGAGGCAGCGAATGCCGAGGCACCAATGGCTAGAAGTAGGTCATTTGTGTCAGAGGCGGAGTCCAGGCCTAGTTCAGCTTCCAGGCTAGTGAAGACTTCATCACTGGATATAGAAAACAGGACTGGAAGTCCTGAACATTCTGGGCAGAAAGGCAAGAGGAAACGACAAGCTCCACAAACTTCCGGTAAGTTTTTTTTTTTTTTAAGTTAGGTAGAAAACCTTCGTTTTTCAATTGATGGTTTGCTAGTTTAGAGGGGACTCCTGTATTTATTGATGGTTTTCTAGGTTTGTTGAGGTAAGTTAGAAAACTAAAAGCACCCTTCTGACCTGATGGTCTATTAAGGCAGAGGCTGTAGAGTTCATCTGTTCCTTCAAACTAGCATGTTGGTGGGATTGTGTGATCAGCTCTCCTTTCAGCCTTGAGTGCTAGCTATGAGCTGTGTGAACTAAGGCACATCTCATGGGTGAAATATGAATCCCAGCATTTGACCTTTGTGCTAGCAATCACATACTGATCAGACCCCTTGACGTTCAGAGAAAAAGCAGCTGTTTAACATTGTTTACCTTTAGATGACCCCTTCCTTTTGACATTTGAACTTTGTTGTTTACCTCTAGATGACCCCTTCCATTTGACATTTTAACTTTGTTTACCTCTAGATGACCCCTTCCATTTGACATTTTAACTTTGTTTACCTCTAGATGACCCCTTCCATTTGACATTTTAACTTTGTTTACCTCTAGATGACCCCTTCCATTTGACATTTTAACTTTGTTTACCTCTAGATGACCCCTTCCATTTGACATTTTAACTTTGTTTACCTCTAGACAACCCCTTCCATTTGATATTTTAACTTTGTTTACCTCTAGACAACCCCTTCCATTTGACATTTTAACTTTGTTTACCTCTAGATGACCCCTTCCATTTGTCAGTGAAATTAGCCCCCGGCTCCCAAAACCTCAAGTCCCCGTCCCAAGAAAAGCCAGTTACAGTTTTTAACCTGGAGCAGGGGCTGGCAACTCTATCTGCTGATGATCAGGCCAAGTATCTGGCCATGGTGAGTTTTGTCTCTTATTTCTAATCCTTGTTTTTAGTTTACTTTTGTATCAGGCCAAGTACCTGGCCATGGTGAGTTTTGTTTTGTCTCTTATTTCTCATCCTTGTTTTTAGTTTTCTTTTATATCAGGCCAAGTACCTGGCCATGGTGAGTTTTGTTTTGTCTCTTATTTCTCATCCTTGTTTTTAGTTTTCTTTTGTATCAGGCCAAGTTCTTGGCCATGGTGAGTTTTGTTTTGTCTCTTATTTCTAATCCTTGTTTTTAGTTTACTTTTGTATCAGGCCAAGTACCTGGCCATGGTGAGTTTTGTTTTGTCTCTTATTTCTCATCCTTGTTTTTAGTTTTCTTTTATATCAGGCCAAGTACCTGGCCATGGTGAGTTTTGTTTTGTCTCTTATTTCTAATCCTTGTTTTTAGTTTACTTTTGTATCAGGCCAAGTACCTGGCCATGGTGAGTTTTGTTTTGTCTCTTATTTCTCATCCTTGTTTTTAGTTTTCTTTTATATCAGGCCAAGTACCTGGCCATGGTGAGTTTTGTTTTGTCTCTTATTTCTCATCCTTGTTTTTTGTTTTCTTTTGTATCAGGCCAAGTTCTTGGCCATGGTGAGTTTTGTTTTGTCTCTTATTTCTCATCCTTGTTTTTAGTTTTCTTTTGTATCAGGCCAAGTTCTTGGCCATGGTGAGTTTTGTTTTGTCTCTTATTTCTCATCCTTGTTTTTAGTTTTCTTTTGTATCAGGCCAAGTTCTTGGCCATGGTGAGTTTTGTTTTGTCTCTTATTTCTAATCCTTGTTTTTAGTTTACTTTTGTATCAGGCCAAGTACCTGGCCATGGTGAGTTTTGTTTTGTCTCTTATTTCTCATCCTTGTTTTTAGTTTTCTTTTGTATCAGGCCAAATGCCTGGCCATGGTGAGTTTTGTTTTGTCTCTTATTTTCTAATCCTTGTTTTTAGTTTACTTTTGTATCAGGCCAAATGCCTGGCCATGGTGAGTTTTGTTTTGTCTCTTATTTCTAATCCTTGTTTTTAGTTTTCTTTTGTATCAGGCCAAATGCCTGGCCATGGTGAGTTTTGTTTTGTCTCTTATTTTCTAATCCTTGTTTTTAGTTTACTTTTGTATCAGGCCAAATGCCTGGCCATGGTGAGTTTTGTTTTGTCTCTTATTTCTAATCCTTGTTTTTAGTTTTCTTTTGTATCAGGCCAAATGCCTGGCCATGGTGAGTTTTGTTTTGTCTCTTATTTTCTAATGAGCTGACCCACGACGTAGCATATGCCACTATTTAGTTTTTTAATTTTCTATTTTTCAGTAATTCATAATTTGTGAATTCGTCACTACCAATGCTGGGACTGAAAATATTTTGCTTTAAAACACTATCAGTAGCTAGTGAAGGATGATTATCTCCACCCTCACTTTCCACTTCTCTTCTTTTTTTTCAATCTGCATATATCTTTTTCCTTTGTTTGATCCTAATTGTGCTTGACCTCATCAGCAGACACATTGTCCATGACCAAACATAATGCCTTCATCCAGTGAAGTTGATAACATATTTTTTTTTACCTTTGAATTTTCATCATCATACAATTAGTTCTACACCTTTTTTAAAGAACTACTGTCACATTGACAACACTAAATGGCCTTGACCTTGTGAAGAAAACAAGTTATTTTGTACCATAATTATAATTGACCTTGTTAAAAAAATGCCCTTGACAATGTCAACAAACAAATTGTCCTTGACCTTGTCTACAAACAAATTTTCCGTGACCTCGTCAACCAACAAATTGTCCTTGACCTTGTCAACTAACAAGCTGACCTTGACCTTCCCCAGGTGAAAAAGATCCAACAGAGAGACGAGTACTTGTTCCAGTCTGCCAACGACAGACGCAGGACCTCACTGCAGATGGCCTCCAGGCCGGCCGTACTCCTGGAGGTCAACCAGCGCCACCTGCTGGAGGCCATTGTGGCCATGAGGCCGTCCGTCTCCCCCCAGGAGAGGCAGAAGTACCTGGACATGTGAGTGTTGTTGTGGTGCTGGTCTGGATAATATCATTTCTGTAATATAGAGGTATCCTCCATGAGGAAACTCCAAATTTCAAATGTCTCACCCTAATGTTCCAGCTGCTCAACCCCCCCCCCCCCCACACACACACACACACACAAAGCCTACATGATCTACATCCCCTAGATTGCTGATCATGTGACTCTACTTCTATAAAGAAAATCACTGGTACCAAAACAATTAGCCATGAAACAACTAATTACACTATTTACTTTTTAGAACAGTAACCAGCAGTATTTTTTTTTACTGAATATAGCAACAGTAATGAACCAAATCTTAGCTTATTAGCTTATTCCTTTGATTACACCTAAAATAAGTGCAGGAAACTAGAAATGGTTCACCGAAAAGTATGTTACACAATCAACTTGTTCACCAAATAGACTCCTTTTGTCTTTCATGTAACACTTTTTCATAGTGTCTGTGTGGATATTATAGCATTCCCTCACAATTACGTTAAAAGCTGAATTTTATACATTTTCCTCTACCAATACAAAAAGTTTCAGTCGTTCAGTAGCTTGTTAAAGTTATTCATATCAGTCAGCACAGGGTGACACTATCTAGGGGGGGGGGGTGACACCAAACCACCGAAAGTTTTACAGCAACAGTGAACGAGGGGTGGGGCCCTGCATCAACACACCATGTGCCCCCTCCCCTATCCAACTGACGTCACTCATAATATATATAGATATTAATATGTATATATATATATATATATATATATATATATATATATATATATATATATATATATATACAATATATACACACACACATATACAATCAGTGGCTTTAACAGTGGCAGAACTAGGGAAAAAAAGCCCCCCCTCCCCACCTCATCGTATCGCGGGGTATATGATTTAAGCATTAAAGCACTTTATATTTCCCGGCCATTTTACAAAATGAGTTGAGCTCATGGTTTTAGTTTTACCAACTGAAATATTCCATCCCACCCCTCACCCATCCCATCACGAGCAAACATCTAGTCCACTACTAGGGGGCGTCTGGCCCTGTGATGTTTCCACTTTCTGTTTGTTTTTTTACCCTCCGTTTACAAATGAGCTTTGTAAGGGAGACAAAAACCTACAGTGTTGCCGTTCTTGTCAATAAAATCCTGCTTCTGTCCCTTGGACAATACCGCGGGGTGTACCCGGCCGTCCGGTCTATTTGCACGGACGCAAACCCGGGCTTTGATTTATAAACATTAACCCTCCCTCCCCCACCCACCCTTTATCGTGCTGTGTATCTACTCCTTTTTGTTGAATTTTCCACATGGGGTCTTTACCTAGGACGATGAGCCCCGTAGACAAAAGACCCCGACTCGACTAATTGAATTACAAAGCACATTTTTTTTTTTTCAATTTAAAAAAAAAAAAAGTTTTTTTAGTTGGGAGTTGGCGGAATTGTGATCAAAGTTAAAGTTTTTTTTTTTTTAGACTAGTGAGTTTAAACAAGAGCTGTGTAGTTGATGTTATGTTAACTGTACTTACTGACAGGAGTATTCAGGGATAGGGGAGGGAGATTTGTGCTTCATTATCTGGCGTTCTAAACGAGAGGAAAATTACCATGTTGGGTCAGGGGTCATCGATAATTGACATCATGATTTTTGTTTGATTTTAAACAACATCTTCCTTTCTCCCCTCCGGCGCATTATTAGACAATATCTCTACCCTTCCCTCCGTCCATTAAACGTCGCATAACTTCCAATACAGATCACGTGTATAAGTAAAGCTCCCCTTACAAACCTGACGGCCTATAGGGCAAGTGAAGTAGAGTTCACTTGTTTCTGTGACCTCGGCATATGAAGAAGAGATAGTGTGGTCAGCACTATGCCCACCCGCCTTTACTTTCCCTAACGTGAGTTAGATACCCATCAGAGTTGGGTGGACTCTGGGACATTCAACTGACTTGAAGCCGCATTCGAACTCGAGACTTACGGGTTAGCAGTCCAGCTCTCTACCACTAGACCACTCCGTCCCAGTATTAGACAATATCTACCTTTTCCTCCGTCCATTAAACGTCGCATAACTTTCATTACAGTAGGAATATCACGAGTAAGAATATAAAAAATCTGCTCACATCGATTATCCATACCGCCGCATCGAGTTAATCATTCACTCGACATTAACACGTATCCTAAGATTTTTTATTTAATTGAATTGTTTAAATTTTTTTTTTTTTTTGAGTGAGGTGAGGATGGAGGGGGTGAAAGAGGGTCATCCATATAATTATGACGCCAACCTCCTTGGGCAGTTGAAAGGTCGGAATTTTGTCTCGATTGGGGACGGTGGTGGATATCTAAAAATATGATAAAGTTTTATTTTTACGATAAAAAAATAAAGAACAACACGTATTTCTTTAGAATTATGGTTGGAGGGGGGGGGGTGGAGGCAGGTTTGCCTGGCTTTTCGTGCTCACGTGTAAAGATACGGGTCTGGTTGAAGGTAAAAAATCTAAATTAAAAGAGTGACGTCATTTATGGGTTACCCCCCCCCCCCCCCCCCTTTTTCTAAATGTCGAAATAACAAAGCTTTAACTAATCCGTGCTCTAATTTCACTCAAATCCTAATTCTCCCAGTATTAACGTTTACGTAAATACATGTGTGTACACCTGGTACTTCATAACGGAATTGTAGCGCAAACATCTACCATCCATACCCCTTGTTCACTGTTCAAAAAACCGAGTGCTCTATATCACCGTGACGGTATTTCCTATCGACAATTTTAAAAAATCATGAACCGGCCTCACTGTGAAAGATGAACGAAACAATTCCGAACACAAATGGGATTAGCACTAGGAAATTCTTTCGTTTAATTAGGCGTGTGTTTAGGATTTAGCCGGCACCGGCAACAATTCCGGCTGATGCATGACAGGCCACCTGTGTTGGTTCAGTCAACTTAGTGCCTGGTGTTGCCTGACTTCGGGATTTCAATATTTGACTTGACTCATGACTGAATAGAAGATGGTGGGCTTGTTACTTATATTTTTAGATAAATTATCCCTTAAAAAAGTGTTTAATCTTTTTAAAATATTGTAGGATGGTTGTTGTAAAAGCTATTATAAAAGTTTTCTTTTAGAACCTGGCTATCCATAGGGGCAAGTGAAGTAGAGTTGACCTGTTTCTGTGACCTCGGCATATAAAGGGATAGTATAGTCAGCACTTTACCTAGCCGCCTTTACTTTCCCTAACGTGTGTTAGGTACCTATAAGAGCTGGGTGGACTTAGTGACGTTCTACTGATTTGAACCCGGATTCGAACTCTGAGTCTTACTTTAGCAGTCTAGCGCTCTACAACACGGCCACATCCCGTTGTTTATTATGTTATTTTTGCAAATTTAGACGCCAAGTATTATTTCAATAGTTCTCGTCATTGCCCTATGCTTTTTATGCCAGTTACTCACGATCAATTTGATAGATTTTAAAGTCTGTCTTTCTGCTGTATAAGTCTGTCTAGCTACAGTAGTCAGACACAGACATTAGGCAGACACGAGACAGACATTCAGTATGTATTAGACAGACATTTAAACATACTTAAAGCCGACACTCACTCAGACTATGATGTCAATCGCAGCCTCAGTTTCTCTTCATTAATCCTTAATCTTAACGTGAACTCTAGCCTAGCCCTAACCTAAATCAAATGGCCCTAACTTCACGTCACTAAATGGAAATGTCAAACTGTGTTAATGTGGGATGGTGTATCAAAGTCTGGGACTTACGGGGATATGTATTTAAACTTAAACAGCAGAGGCTTTACAAAATGTCTGAGTTTGATATGTTAATGTTACTTCACATGATCGTTTTGCTCTGTTTTGTTATTGTAAGTAATTGTTGTTTTGTTGTTGTTGTTTTTTTTTAAAAAAAAAACAATCTTGTCCCCTCTTAATCAACTTGTCTTATGTAAACCTATAGTTATTTCGTGCTTGTCTGATTAGTGTTTCGATCCCCACTCCCCCCTCTCCCACTATGAAAGTTGTTTATCCTTCTTGTTATTTTTCTATGAATCCCCCCCCCTCATCCCCACCATTAATTTGCCACTGCTGTCAGTGGCGACACTAGATTGGGTGACACGTTGTGCGGCAACTGAGAGTGTCATACCCCCCTCCCCCTCTTAACAATGACTACATTTTCAGTTTGGTGTCACCCGTCCCCTCAACTATTGTATTTTAACTGAATTGATTTGACAATAAAGTTTACGATTTTTACTTTCTCGTATATACGAAGTATAGAGAAAGTCTTGTAATCGTGCAAAAAAAAAAAATCGAGATTTTTACAAATCTCGACGTTTTACACCTCACTGATACGGAAAAACATAATTTTGCAATCTTGTCCGTATGTCTGTGTGTCTGTCTGTGTGTCTGTGTGTCTGTGTGTCTGTCTGTCCGTGTGTAAACACGATAACTTGAGTACCGTTACAGCTAGGTTGATGAAATTTCATATATAAGTATTTTATCAAAATCGTAGATCCGTATCAACTTTTGAGCGATTTCCGATAACCGGAAGTGGTACTTTTCCTACTTTGAATTTTTCAAAAGCCTATAACTTGAGTACTATTTCAGATAGATAAATGAAATTTCACATGTAAGTAAAAGATCTAATTCTCTACCTTCTGTTAAATTTTGAGTAATTTCCGTTGACTGGAAGTAGTACTTTACGCTACTTCCGATTTCTCAAAAAACTAATGTAAATTTTAAAAGTACTAATAATATTGCGCACTATTATGCGCTTTTTTATAAGGCGTTCACTTGGTGTGCAATTAATTGTCTACGAGATTTTATTCTATTTTTAAAACTTTAAGTATTTAAAATGGATTAAAAATCATGTCTATAGCCCGAGTTCCCATCCCCTGTTATTTTATATAATAATATTCGAGAAAGTTTAGGGGAGATCACTCCCGGTTTATTTGATTTGGTATCACCAACGCCCCTCACCCCCGCTACTGTTTATTGTGCCCCCCAC